ACACACACACACACACACACACTGACAAATTCCGCTCTGTGTCCCTTCCCTCCAGAACTGAATCCAATTACCTCTAAAGCATCTCTCGGATGCTTTATCAACTGATAGGACAGACCGTGCTCAGAAGAACAACCCTGAGATACAGAGGGGGATAATAACACGTGTGCAAGCAGAGCTGAAACCAAACTGTCTGCAAGAAACAGAAAGACTGACACACGCAGAGACGGACATGGGATCTGTTGGTGTGTTTCATTTTGTCTCTTTAACCCAAAGTATCACAGCAGCCATGTTGCTGGAGGCTGCAGAGACAACAGAAGGGCCGACATCAAACTCTCCTGGAGGGCAAAAGAAAGCGAGAGAGTGTTTTCTCTGCTCAGCTCTGGATACATGACGCTCAAATTCAAAATGTTGTTTAAACCAAAGGCAAAAAGCATTAGGGCAGGACACCTTTAAATTAAATCAGCCTGTGACAGAAGACTGAGAAAACACATATGAAAAATGTGCACATATATGACTGAGAGTGAGTGTGTGAGTGTGTGTGTGTGTGTGCGCGTGTGGAGATACAGATGCAGAAAGACAAAAACAAGAGATGGAGAGGAAAAGAACGAGCTCTCTTCATGTCTGTGCACCATCTTTAATGATTTATCTCCATGGCAAAGAGAATTTTAAAGATCTGTCTCATCAGATCAGCTGCTTCATCATGTGTGTTGAATTCCTCTGTGGTGCATCAATGATTCATCCCCAGTTTAAACCGATCCCATGTAAGACATGAGAGGCTTCCAATTAACCCAAATGCAGCTCTGTTAAAGCCTGCATGCATCTGTCAGTGTGCAGCGACGCTCCCATTCAAAACCATGACAGAGGAATGACAGTTAATCCCTGCTGCAGTTTTTCCTCCTCTTAAAAACGTTTTAGACAAATCGTGGAGGAAAAGATGAACATAAAACAGTCAATTACAATCAATCAGTAAAAATGATCTTCCCCCTGGTGCTGCAGGATCAATGGGCTAATTTCTCAGCCTTTCCCCTCCTTCTAGTCCCGCTTT